CTGCCCAGAGGAACCACCTTTCTTGAACTTACAGACACACTCTATGGAGGCCATGTGCAGTTCTGGGAATTACTCAAATGCAAGAGATGTGACTGCAAATCAGCCTCAGAAATGCAGCTGTTCAGTCTTAAGTTCGATGCTCTAAGTTCTACATGATAGAAGGCTGAACCACCCCAAACGTGTGGCCAACGGGAGTGACAGGCAGCTCCTTTTTTTTTTTTTTTTTAAGATTGCATTTATTTGTTTTTCAAGGAGAAGAGAGGGAGAGAGGGAGAGAGGGAGAGAAACATCAATGTGTGGTTGCCTCTTATGTGCCCCCCACTGGGGACCTGGCCCAAAACCCAGGCATGTGCCCTGAATGGGAATCAAACCAGCGACCCCCTGCTTCACAGGCCAGCATTCAGTTCACTGAGCCACGCCAACCAGGGCAACAGACAGCTCCTTGAGACTCAGGAATGTTCCATCACCTCTCTCTCTTGCTCTTTCTCTCTCTTCTTACAAGTACTGCCATAGCGCCTAGGTCAAAGACATGAGGGATTGCTTTTTAACTATACTAAACTCTATGCCTATAAGCAGTATACATGGTAGCCACACACCTCAGCAAAGACATTCCATCCTCCCCACAGGCTTCCCTGACCTTCCAAGTCTGGACCAGCTCTCCTCCTGGGTTTCCTTCTGTTGTAATCTTCATATTCCACTCTGGAGCACTTAACACTGTGTTCTAATTGGTTATTTGCATTTCAGTTTATTCACCACTGCATTTTGAGTGCTTAGCACTGTTGCAGTACATGGCAAGAACAGGGCTGGGAAGCAGAGGAAGAATGGAAGCAAAAATGAACCTGCAATAAACCATCATTTATAGATACCAATTCAGCAAGCTCCTCTCTACAAAATCAGACAGAAAACCATCCAAAAGCAGCCAAGTATCCCTAATTATAGACACTTCCTGAGACACTTGGACTCAGCAAAGCCCAGCCTCCCTCTGGATCAATTTTCATAAACAAATCTGATAACTTCTGGAAGGAAAGAGACAAAGCACTGTTCCTTAAAATTCCGAGTCAGGGACACCTGCCAGGCTAACCCTACCAACCAATGCTCATTAGCAGAAAACTTTGTCAAAAACATTGATAAAGAATTAACTGGCCCTGGCTGGTGTGGCTCAGTGGATTAAGTGCCAGCCTGCAAACCAAAAGGTTGACAGTTCAATTACCTGTCAGGGCACATGTTTGGGTTGTGGGCCAGTTCCCCAGTTGGGGGGGTGCAAGAGGCAACTGATGGATGTTTTTCTCACACATCTATGTTTCTCTCTCTCTTACTCCCACTCTTCCCCTCTCTCTAAAAATAAATAAATAAAATCGTTTTTAAAATTCTTAAAAAAAAATTGCCTTCAAGAAATGGGTGGTGTCTAGACTCCAAGCCCTGATTTAAGGAGACACTGAGATCTAGAATTTCCCATTGGCTTTCTAGTCACAATTCCTGCAAACAAAATAAAAAACAAAAAGGCAGAGAAAGAGAGAAGGGGGAAGTGGGAAGAAGAAAAAGGAGAAGAAGGAAAAAGAAACAGGAGACAAGGGTAACCATTTTTGTCTTCCAGGCTCTGCACTAGATCATCTTAGACCTCACAACAACCCTACTGGATGGCTGCCACTCCCCCTGTTTTCTGGATGAGAAAAACAGAAGCTCAGACACTTTAAGGAGGGAGCTGTCACTTAATCAGGTAGTTGTCACTTGCTGGTTTTGTGACTCCAGTCAAAGTAGTTTATGTCCCTAAAGCTCACTGATCTCTAAATTGGGCAACTTAATTGTGTTTCTGAAAAGGAAAGGTCAGATATTCAATAGATTCTCCAAAAAAGAAAAAAAAGGCCAGCAATTCCACCATCCCCACTGAAATAGGATGTTTGGTCCTCATCAAGGCTTATTTTATATAGAAGAGTAACTGGGCTCAGGCTGGTGTGGCTCAGCGGGTTGGACGCTGGACTACCAACCAAAAGGTCACCAGTTTGATTCCCAGTTAGGGCAAATGCCTGGGTTGCAGGCCAGGTTCCCAGTTGGGGGTATATGAGAGGCAACAGATCCCACCTTTCTCTAAAAATAAATAAATCAATCTTTAAGAAAAATTGTTTTAAAAAAGAGTAACTGGATTCCTCTCACCTTTTATTTAGTTACAGAAGGAACAGGAGAAGGTTGTCTCCTTGACATCCAATCCCAAAGTGGGGAGTTGGTTTGTGTCATTTTCCTCTTACCCCCTCCTCCCATCTGGCTGGCCTCTCTGTTTCCCCCAGGAACCATCCAATGTATTTACCAATGACCTTTTTCTTTACAAACCCCCATAATCCCAGATAATGTGTTAGCTCAGTGGTGCTCAAGCAACAGCACCTCAGCCTGCAGAAAGGACCTGGTCTTTGAAAGGGATCTTAGGTTACACTCGAAGGGCCAGGAAACAGCAATAGTACGGCTGCGTTTGGCTTCATGACAGCAAATATATCTCCAGAGTCATGTAATTGTCAGCTGAAAACAGGGTTTGCATTTTACTAAGCAACACTAGGAAGTATTTAAAAGTCAAAGGGAGCACAGCTCCTAAGCCCCGTTTTTGGTGGGCTGGGGCTGCCCCATGCCCCTCAGGCAACACCGGGGTGCTCGTCCTATTCTTAAGGTCCTGGCTGCTCTGAAAACCAAGCCTTGCATATAAAGTTCTCTGCAATCCTCAGCTGGACCATTAGCAGCAGGATAAGGGCCAAAGGGCTCCTCCCATCAATCCTGAGGCTTGGGACCCACCCAAAACTGCTCCAGGAATTCTAATGGGTTCCAACTAATTCTATCCAGGGAATTACTAGGAAGCCTCACCAGTGTGACTGCTCTCCTTTCAAAGGGACTCCCGGGATGTCAGGGCCGCAGCGGAGGTTCAGGTCCAGCCTGGCTCGGGGCTCCCAAGCAGGAGGAGGAGCAGAGGGCCCGGGGTTCATGAGAGCCTGAACATCGTGCACAAACCCTGAAAACATTTTGCTAGGTGAAAGGAGCCGGTCACAAAGGACCACACACATATCGCATGCTTCCCTTTATAGGAAATGTCAACGGAAAGTAGACGAGTGGATGTCGGTTGCCGGGAGCTGGGTGGGGTGGGGTGGGGGAGGACAGGCTGAGAAGAAATGGGGAGGTACCGCTAACAGGTACGGATCTTCTTATTAGAGTGATAAAAATGTTCTAAAATTGATTGTGGTGATGGTTGCACAAGTCTGGGACTATATTAAAAACCGCAAAATGGTATGCCTGAATAGTGTATGAATTATATCCCAATACAGGTATTTTTTTTAAAAAATACTATCCTAAAGTTTGTCTTAACACTAAGCACACATTGGGGCCATGTTCAGAGGAAATCCATCCAAGTTCCTCTTTTGGAACAACCAAAAATCCAAATACTATTCATTCATTCATTCATTCATTCATTCATTCAGGCATGCATGCATTCACTCATCGAAATTGACCAGTGAGTCCTCTGTGTGTAGAAGCGGATCACCTTGCCGGAAACAGAACACTAGTTCACCTACCTCACTGCACTCAGCATAAGCCGGTTCACTGGATGTGAGCAGGGCCTCTTTATTACACCCAACTAGGAAGTGCCCCCCGCCCGCCCTCTCTAGGGGGAGCCCCAGAGCCTTTAACAGGGGAGCCTCGGGAAGACCTCTTTCCATTTCTCCTCCTTACAGACCCATCAAAGTCTTAGCCCCGTATTTCTTTGTTGCTGACCCTTCCCATCTTCTTCAGCTGCGGATGGGAGCAGGCTCCCAGGAATTTCCACAAGGGAGTCCAGAAGTTCCAAAGGGAATGGGGCTCTCGGTAGTTCCAGAAGCAATTCTTAGGAGGAAATTCAGGCCCCTATGAGAGCTGCATACAAGCTCCATTTTGGTCTCTTTCCCTAAAGACAAGTCCAAAGCCCTCACTTAAGCAAAAGGGGCGACCCCAGGTCAACTCTGAGCTCATCCGCCAGAGGGCGTGCGTGCCACCGAGCGTGCTTGCCGCCAAGGACCCAAGAACCGAGCTCCTAAAGCGAGTGCCTGTGGTCGGGACGCCCAGTCCTACCTAAGGGTGACCCACTCCACGCGCGCGCTGCTCTTGGCCCAGCCCTAACCCTTCTTGCCTGTGCGCGCCGCACGCCAAAGCTCGGCTCTGCGCACGGGATGCATCTTCGCCCAGACGCCCAGTACTCGGAGGCTTGAGGCAGGGAGGGATCCAGAGAGAAAAAATGCCGGGAGGTGAGGGGTGGAAAAGCCGGGGCACAGAGGATCTTCCAACGACACAGCCTAGGGGTGTATCTCAAAGCTTCACGCGAAGTAAAACGCACGAAGCATCAGAGTTTCTTGACACCGAGACATCGAGGCAGGCTACCGCCAGCATCCGACATCAGGACGCTCTTCCTGGCGGTCCTTTCTGCGTCTAGTCTAGCGCCTTAGTCCCCAAGGCTAAAATATGTGGCAGTACCAAGCAGCGGCGGAGTGAGCTGCCCCCGTGACTTCCATCGATTTATCTCCCAAGCGATTCCCCAATACAATCAGAATAAAAACAGCATGTTTTCTGTTTATATACAGCTCTCCAACGCAAGTCCCTAAGCCCCCTTTTCACCAGACTGCCGCCTTTACTAAAACTCTTCCACTTGGAAATTCTAGTGTCGCCAGCGTCTCGAAGTTAGACCTGCTTCTTCCCGCCCCACGCTCACAGCACCCAAGTGTAGAGAAAAGCCCCCGGGAGCAACATTGTCAGTGTCACATGCATTCACATCACGCAGCCCGTTCAATCTCCCTGCGCAGCGGCCCCCGCGAGGAGGCTATGGGGTGCACGGTCTCATCGCACCCCAAGGGTCCCCGGGCTATCCGGGGCGCACGGGAAACGAAGGTCCCAGGAATTGCATTGTATGTGCAGGAGGCTCGCCCTCGCCACTTTTCCTTCCTCAGCACTAGACTTTTCGAAGCCAACCCGAGGAGAGGCAGAGACAGATTGGAACTGACCTGTGCAGGGCAAGCTTCCAGCCCAGGTTGGGGACCTCTCGGTGCCTAGGAAGATCCAAGTCCTGCCGCGAGTTGGTTCTTGGCAGCGCACGGCCCTCTCTTGCTTCCCGCCTAGCGCCCCTTTTAATTAGCCTCTCTCCCTCTCTCTCTCGCTCGCCCTCACCCTCTCACCCTCTCCTGCTCCCACTCCCAGTGGCCTGGAGCTGCCTCCTCTCCAGCGCTTCCCTCCTGCTGGGCTCCCGGGATCAGATAAGAGGCAAGGAAGGCCAGTAGGCGGCCAATTATAGAGCAGAAGGTGGCCGTGGGGGCGGAGGTTGGGGTGGTGGGAGGCAGGCCTAAGTCCCAGACACCTCCACTTTATTTCCTCCTCCTCTCCCCAACCCCGACCGAAAGCGATGCTCTGAGGAGCCCGCCCCGCGCTGCGCACGCGCTCCCTCAAACCCGGGGGCCGCCCCAGGTGCGCCGCTGGGCGCCGTGCCGCGGGAAAGAGCCGCTTTTGCTCCTCCACTCCGACCGAGACTAGTGTAGGGCTATTAAACCCAGCCCTGCGGTCGCGCGGGAATGCCCGGAGCCCTCCGGTACTCAGGTGCTGTGTGCCCGCTTCCAAAAGGCCAACCTTGCCTTCCCGCGTCAAGGACCCTGCGCTCGCGTGCCAGTCCCCATTGTAAAGGAGCACGCTTCTTCCTTTCCTCGTTCTCTTACGGAACTTTTAACAACTTGGCTATGAATGACCAAGGTGGCGATGTCCAAACTTTAATGTGCAGGAGAATGATCTGGGATGTTGCAATTGACATGTTTGTAGATTTAAAAGGGAAAATGTCGGCAGTGTCCTGCGGTTGGACTTCCCAACCTGCAGCTCCCCTACTCCCAGCGATCCTGATTGACAGATCTGGGCTGACGCCGGGGACTCTGCATTTATCAAACACCCTGGCGGCTCTGATCCATGCAGCTCGCCCTTCGAAGTGTGAAGCACATCTACCCTTGAGACGAGACACGCAGAAATCGTGCTAGAGCCCCGTGCGTGTCTCTAGGGACTGCCTGGCCGTGCGCGGTGAGCCTACGAGAGGTAAAATGGGCCCCCTTAGAAAGTCACCATCGTTACCCTTTTTTGAACCGTGCAAACAAATCCCCTGCAGCCTTATTTATAGTAGAGCTTGTCTGCGCGCACAAATATTTCGGAGGGAGGTATAGAAACGGAGGATTTCGCAAGAAGCCATTCTTGTGAGACAGTATTTTCTCCCTTTGGAAAACTGAGAAGAGGGTTCGTCACCACCGCTAATGGGCTGTGATGGAGAGGAGAAAGGACAGGTGGTGGTGATCCTTAAAACGAACCTGCTTTCATCGTGCCCGGCTGAGAATGCGGAAAGAGAGGCCGTGGAGTGTGGGGCCTCTCCAGGAGTCCTTCCGACAGGCTCACCTTCCCAACAGTTGTGAGCCACCTCTTCTACTTTCCCAGAATTTGCGGGGCGTGTGTTTGTATCCTCTTGCTCACGCTCTGAATTTCCCCGCGGGTCCTGCGGTGGAGTAGAAAGGGTTCTCTCCAGCCGCACCGTCACCCTGTGTCCCCTGGTCCCTTTCCAAACTGGCCTCAGCTCAGCCACAGGAGGGGTCCAAGCGAGGCGCCGTTTTGCTTCCGCGCTTCACTGAACGCAAGTCTCCGCCGTCAGGCGCCAGCACAGCTTTTTAGGAGACACTCCAAGGCCTCCAGAGTCGGTACTGCAAGGGTTTGAGCGCCACCTGGTGTTGGGGGTTTGGCGTTTGGGACAGGGCGGGAACTGGAAAGATCCCCACCCACCCAAGGTGGACACACCGGGACCAGAATTCCTGAAATGCAGCATTTGTTCATGGAGACAACTGCACTTTCAATAGGTCTCCTTCCTTCTGCCCCCACCCATAGAAGTCCTAAAACCCTCCTAGTCTGTTCCCCCTTTTCACTAATAAAGCCTCTTATGCCTTTATTTTTACCCAAATGTAGCTAACTAGTTTAAGCTTAGCTTTTCTTGTTAATTCCCTTGCGGGAGATAGCGGCCTGTTAGCACAAAGTTTTAGGCCAAGGCGGAGAAAGGTATTTGTGATGGAATTAAACAGAACCAGAAATGAGGAATTGGGAGATTTTAAAATGAGAAATAAGTGTTAAAAAAAATCAATACACCGCAAATAAAGAAGCATAATATTTGCTCAATAAAAATCTTACACAATAATATGTACTGATTTTGTAATGGTATCAAATGCTATTTAAAAAAAAAAAAAAAAAAAACTAACTCATCCTTCTTTCCTCTCCTTAGCTTTTGACTGCCTGCATTTTTGTTTTCAATGTAGAGAAACCTCAGTTCATGTTGTATCCAAAGAGCTGATTTTAATCAGTCTTCTACTAAGTTGCAGTTGTGTGTGAATTTCTAGCCCCTTTGATAGAGCGTTTCAACATCCATCCTGGGTCAGCCCTGGGTAGATGGGGGAGAACTGACTCACTGAAACAAGACCAGGAATTTCAGGAATGGCCTCCCCTCTCAGTGTAGGAAGAATTACATCAGAATGAACGTGTTAGTGAGTATCTGGGGCCTTTTCAAAGATATCCAGAAATTCCACCTCCCCCCAGAAATTCATTCCAGGACTCAACAACTCTCTCTGGAGTCTCAGCCTGAGCTGGTGAGGTGACTGATTTTGTCTCTTTTGAAGGACTCCATACACACCCGGTCGCCCGTGAGTCTTCGCTGGAAGACTTCCGACTCACGCTTGAATTGAAGGGGCTCTGGCCCTTGCTTGTGTCACTTCGGTGAAGTGATTTCGCCTCTGAGCCTAACAGAGGTAAAATAAGAAGCAGGTGATTAATAATTATCTCAGCAGGTGCAGATTAGATGACAGATGTGTTTATGGACATAACCATAAAAAATAATAAAGAACATCTCTTTCCCCCAAACTGAGACTATCCCCCTTCCCATTGCCTCCAGCTATTCTCCCTTCAGCAGCCACTTCCAGAAAATTCTCCCTGTAATGTTTCTCAGCAGAAGCACTATTGGCATTTTGGGTAGAACAACAGCACGACTGCCCAGACATTGCAGAATATTTATTATTCCTGACTCCATCTCCAAATTCCCCCATCTCCTGGTCGTTGTGAAAACCAAAACACCACCAGGCATTTATTCATGTACCCTGTAGCAAGCCATAGTCGCCAGTTTCATAAGTTATTGACGGCCCGGCTCCAATCGCTCTGTGGCAGCCAGCTGTGATCTTTTCCTCAGCCCCGCACCCATTCCCCCTTCTTTTGGTAACAGAGGGCTCACAGTCCATCACCGGGCACCGGCTGGTAGCAGTACCCCAGACCCATGAGCAATCCCCGTGGCCCAAGTGCCGACTTACACGTCCCCATCCACGCTGTCTGTCCCATTTCCACTCTTGAAACTCCCAGTGTGGGCCCTGGTCTTGCAATAGAATGGCTGGTAAAAAAAGGTGGACCTCCAGCACAGTTGGGAGTCTTCAGGGCCCTGATGTACCTTCTCGTTGATTGGTGTCCCTGCCACCAATCTGTTAAATATTTTGTGTCTCACTCTGGAGCAGCAGAGCTTTGAGCTCTTTAGGAAATTGCCTCCACGCCTCGGATGCCGTTGTGGCTGGGCTGTCATTGGGAGCGCTCTGATCTCCGCTAGCCAGGAATGGGCATACACGCTAACCCAGGCCAGTCCGACACTCGGTCCCTCAAATGTGAGCATGAAGTGGTGGGACATGAGAGTGGAGACAAGTGTTTGCTGAATTTTTGTCTAGTTCATCCTAGCAGTGAGGCCTGAAGGAACAATAAATAGTTCTTAAGTGCAGACAGGGCTCTAACAACCAGCAGAAACACAGATGCACCGGATGTTAAAGTACTGATAAATTTTCATACCGGTTGGCAAATAGCTGCCTCCCCACAACCCTAAATATCTTCTCTCCCATCCCATTCCTGGGACAACTACCCCAGATCTCCATTTGATCCCACAATTAAAGAGTTAATTCTTCTAGCCTGGCCTGAATGGTAATGCTTCCCCACAATTCACGTTTTGAAATCCTACCCGCAAAGGTGATGGAGGGAGAGCCTTTGAGAGTTGCTTCTGTCCTGAGGATGGAACCCTCACAAATGGAATTAGTGCCCTTATCAAAGAGGTCCAGGAGAGATCCCTAACCCCATCCATCACGTGAAAATACAAGGACAAGTCTGGGACCCAGAACTCTCACCCAGCAGTGATGACACCCTGATCCCAGACTTTCAGCCTCCAGAAGTGTGAGAAATAAGTGTGTCATTTATAAGCCACCCAGTTAGTGGTATTGTTATGGGAGCCCAAACAGATTAAGACACCGTCCATCCGCAGAGGACCTCTTGGTCCCTGCTTAAACATGGCTCTTAGCATCCCTTCCAATTGGTCTGTGCCTGTGCCATCTTATTGTTCATTCTTTTCATTATTGGCCCTGCCTGGAGCTCCAGGACACCTCTGGCTCTTATCTTCCCTGGAGTTTTTTCTCAGTTCTATGAGCTACCCCATTTTTGCCAAATCTGATTTCTTTCCCTGCTAAGCAATGAACCCCAGCTGAGTCGCTGTTCGTTTTACCAACCTTAAAGCTAAGACAAAGGACACGAGAAAGCCCGTCCTAGCTGACCCAGGGAGCACTAGCCAAGTCAACACTAGAATGCAAATGCTTTAACTCCCAGGGCTGAGCTTTTCCCACCAGTGTGCATTGACCCCTCTCCAAACAGCCCTATGGGTAGCGCCGATGCCTGCAGAGGGGTTTCCCTTTACAAAGTGAGCTCGAGAACATCATCCTTTTTTAACACATCCGCTCTGCAAGGCAAGACTCACTCCAGAGGTGAGCATCATATTGTTTGATTCTGTCCTCTGTGTGGCTGGAGTCCCCCCTTCCCACAGTCACCTTTCATGTTCTCGACTCAGCGGTTAAGACATTCCTCATCTTCTCGGCTCCACGGCCCAGATCAAAGTCAGGACATTAAAGCAGCCCGGCTTCTCATGTGTGACAGCACCCTGTCAGTGTGTGTGTGTTGCATAAAGGGTTCCATTCATAGCATAACGGGGCGGGAGCAGGCCCAAGAGATGATAGGCACATG